CCACACTTTCACAGAAAATTCGTCTTGAAAAGATCTTGTTCGAATTTCATGAGGATTGAACGTAGCTTCATCGATCCAAAGTATTTTTAGTAAGAATTCTGGACTATGTTGTGACTCTAACAACCACTGACAAAAATTCAGGTGTCTCTCTGCATCTTCCGGAAGTAAATTTTGCACAGGTTGTAAATGGTACGGATTTCTACCATCTTTATGTAGAACTTTTCAAATTTTCGATTTACTCATCCCGAGTTGCCGAGACGTTTTTTAATCCAAAAAGATGAAAGCGACGAGTGTAAAGAATTTTGTTGAAGTGATTACAAATTGCACTTACTTTTAAGCATAAACATAAATACTATTGTAATATTATGATTAGAAGTATCTGCCACAAGGGGATTGTATTGGTATGAATAACTTGAGAACGGTGAAATTTACGGAAAAAATTCAAGTTACCTATTTTACGTATTTTGTGCATTAGAATATAAATCTGTTACAATAACTTGTAAAAAATATAGTGGCGTAGGTTTTTCTTATAAAAAAGGGGTGATCCTGTCCAGTTGTACACCACTGGTTGAACCTTTAGAGCTAATATTTTAGGTAATGCAGGGCCTACTGTCATACATTATCTGTACCAAATTTTATTGAGATCGGTTAATAGATTCCGGAGATATATACAAAAAATTTAATTTTTTTAACAACTTCAACACACTGTATCTCTAAAACGAGGCCGTTCCAGTCCTATGTTTTCTGGGCACCTGTGGATTCCTTGGCGTTTATGAGTTAAATGTTTTTATGCGGTTCCAACTAATATCGTAACAACTATACCTAAGAACTTTTTTGCTTGTTGCTGTATGCCGTATTTTATTATGGACTTTTCTTTTTAAATTTTTCAATACGAAAATATAACTTTTCAAATAGGTTGTAATATACAGGATGTCTAAAAAAAATTGCGTTGAACTTCGAACAGATGATTCTTGCAAATTTATGTAGGTACTGAATGTTTCAGAAAACTGACACAGGTGGACTGATCTTTTCCTTATCTTTTCACGTTTTCCTACTTTATTTATTGAAATATTTTGATGAAAAGTTATATATTTACTAACTAGACACTTTTTCGAAAATCCATATCCTGGATGTTCTAGAAAATTGGCCCAGGTATTAATTACGGACAGATTCGAATATTCCTTTCTCTTATAACCTTTTTCTACATTACTTATTAAAGTCTTTTACGGGAAAACCACGTCTTTTTGAATCTTTATCTCAATGTTCTATAAATTTGAAACTTTTCCTTATTCTTTTTATCTTTCTACCTTATGCATTAAGTCTTTTATGAAAAATTTTACATTTACCAACCTAATAATGATAATGATTAACGATATTACCTTATGATGATGATGATGATGAAGATGATGAAAATAAAGATGAAGATGAATATGATGAAAATCAAGGTGAAGATGAAGTTGGAGATGAAAATGAAGCTGAAGATGGATATGAAGATGAAAATGGATATGAAGATGACGATGATGATGATGACGATGAAACTACAGATGAAGTAGATGAAGATGAATATGATGACAATGAAGATGGCGACGAAAATGAAGATGATGTTGACGATAACGATGACGATAACAATGACGAAGTTGACGATGAAGATGGATATGACGATGATGAAAATGAAGATGAAGTAGATAAAGATGAATATGATGACGATGAAGACGAAGATAAAATGAAGGACAATAATGACAATGGAAATGGCGACGAAAATAATGAAGACGACGATGATAACGATGACGATGAGAATAACAATGACAATGACGATGAAGATGAAAATTAAGGTGAAGATCAAGTTGACGATGAAGATGGAGCTGAAAATGGATATGAAGATGACGATGAAGATGAAGATGATGTTGGTGATGAAAATGTAGATGAAGGTGACGATGATGATGAAAATGATGAAGATGACGATCAAGATGACGATGAAACGGACGATCAAGATGACAGTGAATATGACAATGAATATGACGATGAAAATGACGATGAAAATGACGATGACAATAATGATGATGAAAATCAAGGTGAAGTGAAGTTGGAGATGAAAATTAAGCGGAAGATGGATATGAAGATGACGATGATGGTGATGATGATGATGAAACTACAGATGTAGATGAAGAGGAATATGATGTCAATAAAGATGAATATGATGACAATGAAGATGGCGACGAAAATGAAGAAGGCATTGTCTTCCGCGTCACTGGAAACCTTCCCGACACCTTGCCTGATAGGTCTTTGTAATTATTGTTCTTGTCAGCGTTGTTTAATATAAAATATACAACTCTTACTGATATTTAAATCAGCAGCCACTTCACTCAAAGACCAATTATCTTCTAATTTAGCTATAGATCGATTTCGTATACACCATTTCCCTTAATTTGATTGATCTTAAACGGGCCAGACCAGACTTCCCCTTGTGCTTCCTGCGTTCCTGGGAAGTTCCCTACCGACCTCATGAAGTTGAAATTTGACCGGAGCTTCCCACGGAAATGGATATAATCTTCTATTGAAGGCCGTCTGTTGTCGTAGAATCTGTTGTTCTCGTTGTCTTCTAGATTGACTCTGGTTATCGACCTCCCTTTGCCTCTCCGGATGAGACCACTCGCCTGCTCTTACTAAAGTAGCTCCCAGCAGAGCCTCACTCGGAGACATCCCAATGGCCGCGTTTCGTCGCGTTCTCAATGCAAGTAAGATGATGCCAATAAATTGATCCCACAATGTTGGTGACTTGTTTCGAAGATGTATTCTAATAGCTTTTTTACCTCTTGGTTGCGACGCTCGACCGGGTTGAAGCGCTGATGATAAACAGGTGTAGTATACTCTTTAATGTGATGTCGGTTATGTAATCTATCCCAGGCAGCGCTACGAAAAACAGAGGCATTGTCGGTTATTATTTCTTCCGGGTATCCCCACCGGTAAAAGACTTCTTCTAACCCATTTTGTACAAAGGTCTGTGATAACGATTATATATTTGTTCTTCCGTCTCTTTACCGGGTAAGGGCCCATTACATCTAAACTTATAACTTGCCATGGTCTCTTGGGAGGATGTGGTCTCAACGGAGCTCTTGCCTGCGTCGTGCCTCCACGCTTGGATGATGCACAGATCAAGCAGTGTTTTACATGGGTCTTAATTTGTTTGCGTACAGCTGGACAATAATATAACTCGGTAACGGCCTGTACTGTCTCCTCACGGCCAGGGTGACCAGCGGATGGGGAATCATGATAATGATAGATTACTTTCTGCCATAAATTAAGTGGAACTACCAATTGCCTTAGAGAATTTCGAACATACCAGATCAAATCATCTTCTACACGTAGTCGTTTTCTGCCAGTTTTCCTTAGCCTTTTCTTCCCCCGTCTTGAGTCGGCGCCACCTCGCTCGAGTAGCTTGATATTCGGGACTCTGGGTTTGCGCAGCTACTATATCATACAATGATGTTCCCAGTAGGTCCAATTGATGCAACTGTATAGGGTTGATGAAGGCCTCGTCTGGATGATTCCACTTCCTCAGGTGGTCCTTTGTCTTCACTAGGTCCTTCCGGCAAACCGAGTTTAGTTTCGTCAATAGGTGATTCTTGAATCTCCTCGGGGTGTCTGGATAAAAAATCTGGTAACTGATTCCTACGGTCAGGACAGTGTTCGACAGTAAAATTGAACTCTTGTAATAAGAGTGCGTACCTTGTTAACTTCGCTCTAACGTCTTTATATTTACTCAACCACAACAGGGCACTACTATCAGTCCTCGACTTGGAAGGGTGATCTTCCAGCAAATCCCGGTAACGTTTACAAGCCCATACCACCTCAAGCACCTCCTGTTCATTACAGTGGTATTTACGTCGTTGTCCACCACGATCGTCTTGGTAGAGAACAGCTCCCATACCCAGGGAACTTGCATCGGTCTGCAAGATCATACCCATATCTGGATCCGGACGGCTTAAAGTTAAAGGTTTCGATAGTGTTTCTTTCACAGCGTGATATGCTTGCTCTGCCTGTGGTGTCCATAAGAATTGTTTTTTCCAACGAGATCACTTAAAGGAGCGGACACCATTGCAAAATTAGGCACGTAGTCTCGTAGCCAATTGGCTGTCCCTAAGAAACTCTGTAATTCCTTTCGCGTTTTAGGAGTAGGAAATTAATGGATTTTGAGCACGTGCTTTTCCTGGGCTTCGTTATTTAGGGCTATGACCTTGAGCCCCAAATATTCCAAGTTGGTTGCCCCGAATTTACATTTTTCTAGAGCGCATCGTAAACCGTAGACTTGAAGACGCTCCAGGACTCGTCGAAGATGTTGAATATGTTCTTCTGGGGTACGGGAATAGATAATTATGTCGTCGAGGTAGACGTGTACGAAATCATCAATGAAGCCTTCTAACACCTCCGCCATGAGTTTTGAAACGTCGACGGGGCACATTTCAACCCGAAAGGCATCACCAAAAATTCGTAAGACGCCCCGTCGGGCGTGCTGAACGCAGTTAACGCTCTACCTGCTAATATCCGCTACGCAAGTCTAGGGAACTGAAGATCTTGGCGTGGCCTATTCCTCGTAGGATATCCCGGATAACTGGTAACTGGGTCACTTAGTCTTCAGTGGCTCGATAATCGACACAAAACCTAGTAGTGCCATCAGATTTTGGCACGAGTACTATTGGAGAGCTATACGCAGAGTGACTCCGTTGTATTACTCCAGCGGATAACATTCTTTGGACCTCCGACAGTAGATGTAGATTATGGCGATGTAGAGGTAATGTAGACGATGGTGATGTAGATGATGATACAGATGATGGTGTAGATGATGGTGGTGTAGAGGTAGATGATGGTGATGCTGATGAGGATAATTCAAAATTATTTGCGCAAATCAATGCTCCCCGAAGCGGAGCTCATGCCGCGAGTAGCGCGGGTGTCTCGTTCATGTTTCAAAAAACTTGTGTGCAAGTTGCTCATGGGAAAATAATAGGGGTAGTTCATGTAACGTTTTTTCTTAGACGCCCTGTTTTCGAAATACAGTGTGTTGAAGTTGTTACTTTCCAAATGGTTTTCCTTAATTATCTTTCAATCGGCTGAAGATAAAAATGTCAAAATTTGTACACGAGTAAATATCAACTGTGGGTAAAGAATAATGTGCAAACGGTTTCTTTCTGAAAATCAGTGCCGCCGATACAAGTAATAGGAGGGGTACAATCGAAAAAAAATATGATGAAAAGTCAAAATTTATTACATTTCTAAACGGTTCCGGAAACTCTAAAGCATACTACAAAAAAAAGGTATACTTTTCGAAATTCGGTAGCATGTACCATTCTCGAAAAAAATCTAGTCGCATTTTTTTTTGCTCACATAAAGCGGCACAAGTACATTAACAAAATATTAAATTGAAAGAGGACTTTATCATTGAATGAGCTGAAGACATTTAACTACCAACAGTATTTGCATTTAAGACTGTGGGTACACATGTTCGCAAGTGACCCATTTTTAAGCACAGCGTCAAGAACGCCCCCGGAGACACCAGGGGGTTCCCGGAAGTCGACCCCTGCAGAGTGGCGCCAAGGAGCAGGGACTTCTACCAGCAACTACGAAATTACCTACGACCGAGGGAATTCTCCAACGAACACTCATACCGTCAACACGTTTTTTCTATACATTAGTTTTTTATACATTAGTTTTCAATAAAATTCTTTATTATTACCGTTGAGAGAGCGTTTATTTCTTGCTGTACAGCGAAAGCAACCCTCAAGTGGTGACCCCGACGTGATCTTTTCAACGAAAGTACGCGAATTTGTGCAATTAGAGTGGTTTTAGTTCGCGCAAAGCAGCAAGCAACATGAGCCTCAGCCAAGGAAACTACGTCGAAAATTATGCCCGATCAGAAGACGACAGACTGAATCGCTTCGAGCAACAGTTAGTGGAGATGTCGCTGGCAATGACGAAGCTATTCTCGAAGAGTGAACCGCGGCGACCGACGACGAGAACACCCAATTACGACAATTCCTTGGCGCCCTTAACTTCTACCGACGGTTCGTACCCAACACAGCAGGTACCCAGGCGCCACTGAATGACCTGCTTAAAGGGGATGTGAAAGGGAAAGCACCCATAAATTGGACAGAAAACGCGAAAAGTGCTTTCGAGGCGGCTAAAACGAGCTTAGCACAGGCAGCTCTACTCGCGCACCCCGGTGAAAATACGCAAATCGCTCTAGTGTGTGACGCTTCTGACTTTGCAATTGGTGCTGTTGTGCAACAAAAAGTTTTGAACGATTGGGAACCGCTAGGGTATTTTTCGAAAAAACTTAACCCAGCTCAGTGCAAACACGCTGCTTATGACCGCGAACTTCTTGCGAATTACGAAGCAGTTAAATACTTCCGGCATATGATCGAGGCAAGAACATTCGCGATTTACACCGACCATAAGCCGCTTACGTTTGCCTTCGCGAAAAAGTCGAGTCAGTGTACACCGCGACAATTCCGCTATCTAGACTNTTCGTACCCAACGCAGCAGGTACCCAGGCGCCACTGAATGACCTGCTTAAAGGGGATGTGAAAGGGAAAGCACCCATAAATTGGACAGAAAACGCGAAAAGTGCTTTCGAGGCGGCTAAAACGAGCTTAGCACAGGCAGCTCTACTCGCGCACCCCGGTGAAAATACGCAAATCGCTCTAGTGTGTGACGCTTCTGACTTTGCAATTGGTGCTGTTGTGCAACAAAAAGTTTTGAACGATTGGGAACCGCTAGGGTATTTTTCGAAAAAACTTAACCCAGCTCAGTGCAAACACGCTGCTTATGACCGCGAACTTCTTGCGAATTACGAAGCAGTTAAATACTTCCGGCATATGATCGAGGCAAGAACATTCGCGATTTACACCGACCATAAGCCGCTTACGTTTGCCTTCGCGAAAAAGTCGAGTCAGTGTACACCGCGACAATTCCGCTATCTAGACTTCATTGGCCAGTTTACGACAGACATTCATCACATGGCTGGTCGCGAAAACGTTGTAGCGGATGCTTTGTCCAGGGTAAACGAGATATGCGCGACTTTTAGACTATGAGGCACTCGCAGCATCGCAACAAAATTCTGAGGACGAAATCAAGGAGTACGTCGACGGACAACACGGCCTCACACTAAAGCGTATTAAAATACCCGACACGAACGCGATTGTATTTTGTGACGTATCTACGGACGTGGCCCGGCCGTTTATCACCAAGCCATTTCGTAGAGTAGTGTTTGACTCGATGCATCGTCTTTCGCATCC